CTCGATCAATGATTGGCCTGTTACGATATGCTAACCCCGGGGGTCAATTTGTATATTATTCTTTCTTCAATCAGAAAATTACAATGATATTAAATCGCGCGAAACTTAAAGTTGATTGGTGCTTTTCGATCCTTCCTGCATAATGAACGAACTATAAAAACAGACTTGGTATAGGTTAGGTTCTTACAGTTAACAGCAGAACATATTTCACTACAAACATGTCTGGTCGCGGTAAAGGAAAAGCCAAGGGCACCAAGTCCAAGAGCCGCTCATCTCGAGCAGGGCTTCAATTCCCGGTTGGTCGAATCCACCGTCTTCTCCGCAAAGGCAATTACGCTGAGCGAGTCGGTGCCGGTGCTCCAGTGTACTTGGCTGCTGTGCTCGAATACTTGAGCGCTGAGATTCTTGAGTTGGCGGGCAATGCTGCCCGTGACAACAAGAAGACAAGAATTATTCCCCGTCACCTTCAACTGGCTGTCCGTAACGACGAGGAGTTGAACAAACTTCTTGCCGGTGTCACCATCGCACAGGGAGGTGTTCTTCCCAACATCCAGGCCGTACTTCTGCCCAAGAAGACCGAGAAGAAACCCAAGGCATAAATCAGCCTTAACCCATAAAAACGGCTCCTGTAGGAGCCACCACATAATACAAAAGTCTTGACTAGCTGGACACGATACGACTGTCAAAATATCATCTCATAACCCCTCTTCCCAGTTTCCAAATTTATGTCATAAAATGAAAATCCAAATGTTTTCAAATGTGATACCAATGTCGCCCAACGACCAAATACACTTCATACAGTTTTCGCGCACAAAAATCGTAGAAATAACGACTTTCGATATGTTATTCGACGCAAAGGTTTGTAAATCTCGTGCCAAAATCTTTTGTTGTTGAATCTTTTATTTCGATATCACTGGTGGCTATAACAAATTGCGCCCAAATCCAGTTTGAAAGTAGGGCTGGTTTGCGGGTAAGCCGGTGTGAATTTCGTTGTACTGTAAATGTATCTCATGCAACCCGCGATAAGAAAATCAGACAGAAGATGAAATGTGTTAACAGGCGTGCCTAGAAAATACAGCTTGATGATGTGTAGCTTGGAAGAAAACCATGGTTATTTTAAATATTACAATGGCAAAACAAGGCTTGCGAGCGAACAGTGAAAGCGAGTCAGGGCTGCCATGTGATAGAATGTTTGAGCGACTTAATTCATTATTCCTTTGCATGCGATGTGCTGTTCTTCGCGCTTCAATACTTTACAGTGACGCGCGATTTTTTTTAACAGAATGAGCGAAGGATATACGATTTTAATCCACACAGAAAGGGAAACAAATTTATTGGTCATGACTTTTCTTATAATTGGTGGCTCCTAAAAGAGCCGTTTGTATTGTGTTAGGGCGGTCTTTCTAACCGCCAAATCTGTTCAGTGTTTACACGCACCAAGATCTTAGAAATAACGCCGTCGGAACTTTAACCT